CGGAGTCCCGAGAAAAAGGGTCTTTCGGCTCGGAAACGCTGCTCCAGCGAAGCCCGGTTTTGCGAAAAACCCGCTGTAAGTGAGCTATGCCTACGCTATCTTTAGTATAGCTTATGTTTTAATATAGTAACATTATTAGGAACTTATAATGAGTATTTGGGCTATTATTATGAGTTATATTGAGTGTTATTTAACGCTTATATAATAATAATAATAGTCAGACTATTAATTAGTCACGGTTATCGTTAGACTAAACCCTAGTGGTACTGGTACTAGGTTTTATCGAAGGAATATCGTTTTGAGAGTATCGAAACGCTGTCCGAGTGCTGAGTCACAACCTATTCAGGTGAGTGCATGGTCCCTTTCATCTTACACATAGATATGAAGTATTTTAATATAAATTACGTGCTATGTGTACATATTGTCTGAATACTTGCTGTCTATGCTGGATGAATGATTTATACATGTTTTAAATGATTTAAACTGTATATTTATTTTATATCTACAAATATGTTGGGATAAAACATGGGTAGATGAAATAGTTGGTGAGTGATGAAATAAAATAATGAGAGATAGGTGATGATAGGAAGGTGATGATAGATAGGTGATTATGAATCGGTGATGTAGGATACTAAAACCTTGTCCGACAATTTGGAGATGTAGTCATCTACCAGAGTATAGATGGCGACCGCAGACTATTATAGACAACCCCATGGAAACACCAGCAGGCTAGTAACCTGTAGGTGATGAATTACGAGCCCAGGCGATGTTGTGGCTACGTATTCATGCGATGATAGTCTAACCCATATTACGAATTACGAGTCCAGGCGATGTTGTGGCTACGTATTCATGTGAGGATAGACTAACCCTTATCATGATTTACAAGTCCAGGTGATGTTTTGGCTGTGTAATCATGCGATGATACCCTAAATCTTGCTAGACACATATTGAGGGAGTAATCCCCGGAATAGTATTGTCTATGCAATATAGGTGATGATCCTTAGGTAAAGTTCGTAGGAACAATCATATAAGGAAATACGATGTAAGGAGATGAGAAGTAAATATGATATAGATGACCCTTGAGATAATATCTTTAGGGAAGACTAAAAGAAGATAATGGGGATGGGTAATTGGGTTGAGTGTTTGATTGTTTAAACATAATAACTATATTATTGTGGGTTGAAAACCCTATGTACTCACCAGGTTTCCCAACCTGACCCACTCAGTTTATGTATATTACAGGTGACGAAATGAAGTGACTTTACACAGAGAGATTTAAAGAGATGTAGATCACTAGTGTAAATAATTGTAAGTTCTGTTTATGCTTATGTTTCTGTATTAACGATGACATCCCAAACGTTTTAAGATGAATAAAAATACGTTTCTTCGAAAATGTTATAATAACGTATTTATCGTGTTTTTCTGGGAACAAATTCCGCAACCTTTTTATAAAATGAAGTACTTTGATTTTTATAAAGCATAAACAAAAATCGGTCTTTTCTGGCCGTGATTTTGGGGATGTCACAGTTGGTATCAGAGCATTAGTTTAAGCGAACTAGGAATATGGATTTATTTCTAGACTTAAACTTAGAATGCTAAGCGATGATTGTGAGGTGTGAGCACTAGCTTAATTTAGGAATGATGCCTAAATTGCTTTTATGTGCTAAATGATTTGTTATGCTATAGTTTGATCGGATCTATGGTCTGTTGCCGACCGGATCTGGAAACCTTATGTGTTTAGGATTCTAAACGTACGACTACAATATTAGAACTAGCATATAAACGTTTCGGAGTGATAAGGATGATTTAACCGTCATTCCTAAGTAAAGATCTAGATTCACCTTATACGGTGTATAGATCAAGATGGCAAGGGCCCGTAGCGGGAACATGAATGCAAATGGGAACCGGAACCAACCCCCGGTGATTCAGCAAATACCGGTTATGGTAACCGCTGCTGAGCCAATAACAATGGCCGGAGTGCAAGCGATGATCCAGGTGATGTTGGATCGTCAAATGGAGGAAACCAGACGTTTGCTCCAGCAAAATCGAGAAGAAGCAACCATACAGATCGAACAGCCCGAGTTGAACGAAGGGCAGACTGAGGAGGGAAACTACAGTGGACTGTTGGTCAAGCCAACCCACCGATAGTTAGGCAAAACCACCAGGATGGAGGAAATGATGGACGTGGATGCAAATACAAGGATTTCATGGCGTCCAAACCACTGAGTCTATCTGGAAGCCCGACGCCGGTGGAAGTCATAAACTGGATCTCCGAGATGGAGACGATGTTTGAGAGTTGCGAGTGTAGCAACAGGCAAAAGACCGCTCTCGCGGTTCCTTTGTTGAAATCTGGAGTACTAAGCTGGTGGAAGCTACTAGCCGATTCGATGCCCAAAGGAGAAGCGAGCAAGATGTCATGGGAGGATTTTCTGGTGCAGTTAAAAATGCAGTACTGCTCTGAGCAGGATCTTCTGGAAATCAACAACGAGTTTCAGAATCTAAAGAAGGGAAAGATGAGTATCATCGAGTATGCTGCGAGTTTTACAGAGAAAATGAAGCTTGTTCCTTATCTAGTTCCAACTGAGCTCTCCAAGGTCAATAAGTTTGCTCATGGATTACCAGCAGACTTTGGACCAATGGTCAAGCAAGCAACCACTTTGAAAGGAGCCATATGGGCAGCCAAGAATGTTGAGACCCAGATTAGGGAAAAAGGTCTGGAGAGAGCTGAACTTGGCGAGAAAAGGAAACATGAAGGATCATCAAAATCCAACAAAGAAAGGAAATTCTCAAGGACTGAAGAAGGAGGAGGAGGTGAAACCAAGTGGTGTGAGAAGTGTAAAAAGAAGCACTTCGGGAAATGTAGCGAGGAGGTGACTTGCTACAAATACGGAAAGACAGGGCATTACGCCAGCAAGTGTGCATCCAACAAGAAGGTGTGTTATGGATGTAACAAAGAAGGGCATATTTCTAGGGACTGCCCGGGGAAAAATAAAGCAGCAAGACCAGAAACGCCACCGAGGCCAAGGGCATTTCACATGATCCTCGACGAAGCAGAAAACCGTGCAAGGAATCAAGGATGAGGACTTCATATCCGAAGATAGAGTTATGCGGTAACCATAGTATCATATGATGTAGCCTATTATAGGCATAGTCTAGGGTGAACTTGAACACCTATGTAATAGTTTCAAGAAATAATAAAACCTTCGTTTTGTTATCTAATGTGTTAAACTGTTGTGTGATTTTCATGCATGGTGACTTGGGAAAACTGCGAGACAATACTTGGGACGAGTATGAGTAGGTGTGAAAGGTAGTAGATGCATATACTACCGGAAGCACAGGACTCACGCTTGGATCAGGGAAAGTCACAATGTTACCAAGAAACTAGTAATTGATTTACTAAAAGTCAGCTACATAAAGCTCCTAAAGTGAATGGTCAGCTACATAAAGCTCCTAAACCAATCATAATCAACCCTCAGTCTATAGTTCATAACCTCTCCAAGTTTTACTAAAAGTCAAACTGGTCAAAAAGTGAATGGTCAACCACTATGTCGTAACCAAGCGCTGACCACGTCGTGGAAGCTACCGAGCAAAACAGTCGCGGGGTGAAACCCATCACCACATTGTAGCGAGCTAAACTCAATGCTGTAGGAACGGTCCAAAATTACTTAATGGATTAAGCCACTAACCTGTTAAGTCATTCACTCATACTTTCTTGGAAGCTTCTAAGCACAGAAAAGAACCATAAAAATCCTTGACTTATAGGGATGCATTTCGAATGCATGTGACACCCCAAGTAAGGTTAAAAGGTCGGAAAATGGGGTCAAAACTCATGGATCGCTACAAAACCGACTAAAAATCCATATCTATATTATATGTTGTTCATGGGACCTTAGGGAATGATAAAGTTGCAAACTTTATCAAAGCCAAACACTCGAAAAAACCAAAGATAGAAAAATAAGCTCATCTATCAAGATCTATAATACATGAACTATAAAGATGAGAAATTAAAATTTACAAATGTCGAGAATGTTCACAAGAAGAATGAGATTGGTTTGCTTGGTGGTTTCTTGCACAACAACTTCTTCTTCTTCCTTCAAAACACCGAAAACACCACAAAGGAGCGATTTAGGGTTTGACGGGAATGCTTTTGGAGTGATGGGGGATAAGGGCTGTCGAAACTCTAGCCTTCACATTCCTTATATACGGCCCAACCCCTGAAACTTAGAGTTTTGTATATCAAGACGCACGCACCGCGGAAAATAATGTTACCACACCGCGGTGACATGGCAAGTCTACGCCGTGGTAACAAATGCTCCACGCAACGGACGGGACATTTCCCAAAATCCAAGTTTTCAAAAGAAGGAATAATACCTACAAAATTTGTATGTTACAACAGCAAACTATATTGCCGCTATTGAGGTCACCATAAATACTATAAGATGAGAAGAGATAGCAACCATTGGATCTAGACGTTTAATCAATATATAGTTATCAACAATAAACAACATGCATCGCCAAAATTACTATAGTTATAAAGAAATAATTACAATTTTCGGAAAAATGGTTCAAAATATAGTTGTTTTTTTTTTTTTGTTTTTTTTTTTTTTTTTTTTTTTTTTTGAAGTATCCAATGATTTTAGATGGTGGCCGTTGATGCTCTAAATACTGATTTGATAAAATATTTTTTTATCATCTGGCAGTGGACATAATATTAATAAGATTTATCGATCTGGCAGTGGACATAATATTAATTTCATTTTCCTTTTGTTGACAAATGGTAATACGTTTGAAAACCAAACACTAGCTTTAATTTTCCACCAAACCCTTCGAAATGAAGGAAGCTACATGTAAAAAGGCTATTTCTAGACCTTCCTTGTGGAATAAGATACTTCAGATTAATGTGACAGAACAAAATCATGCCAAATAATTTGTAACTTAAGAAATAGTACTTTTGTAACTCATACAGAAATAACAATACCAAAATATTCTTTCATATATCTCTTTCACATTAATATTAAATAGAACTCCATGTGATGCAATTATCTGGTCACACCAATTTCTCTGCCATGCAAGCCGTCTTGTGACCTTTTCATCTTGTGGATATAAATAGTTACAGAATGGTAGACTACATATACTCGTTTAAAGTTTATGAAATTGCCTATCCGTTTGCCATGTACTAATTCTATCACAGATATGTCGGCTATTTTTCTACACTGTTCAACATCGGTGAGTAAGAGAAATATGCATGTGAGGCAGTTGTTTAGTGTTGGGTTTTGATAAAGTAGATATTTATTTCCAAATTGAAAGGAGAGCCACTTATTTTAGACTTGATTAACTGATGAATGTGACTTGTGTGCATGTGAAAGCCTTGTCTTGTTCTATTTTCTTCGACAATGGGTACTCGAACCCGTATATACATATTTGGCCAAATGATTAGATACTACGTTACAAAAAGTAACGAATCTGACTACTTACGATGGTAGAGCCGTTAGGTTATATACCACTTCTATATAAAGTACTCCTTCGCATGCTAAGCCTCCACACCACCAAAACTCGCCCTTAAGCGTTTCTCTCCCTACGAACTTACTTTCTTAGCATGACAACATTTTCATTTTTCGCAACCTTCATTTTTTCTTTCTTCCTTCTTGTCTCTTCATGGGTGCATGGGTTGACCGAATCTGAAATAAGATCATGGTGCAGCCAAACACCTCATCCGGACTCTTGCGAGTACCTCTTCGCGGGTAAACCGAATTTAGGTCCGATAAAGCAAAAACCTGATTTCATCAACGCGATATTGAAACTCACCCTAGAGAAAGCGTCAAATGCCGAGGTTAATACTCGATCCCTTGGAGGGAAATGTCGCAACAAGCATGAAAAGGTTGCATGGCAAGATTGCCTAGAGCTTTACGAAACCACTGTTCATAGGATCAACATGACTATTGATCCTCAAAGGAAGTGTAGCCAGGTTGAAAGGCAGACATGGCTTAGCACAGCTCTTACGAATCTCGAGACCTGTAAGACAGGATTCGAGGAGGTGGGTAGTGGTGAATACTTGTTACCATTAATGAACAATAATTTATCCGCCTTAATTAGCAATACGTTGGCAATGAACAAAGGAGGATCTACAGAGAACTACGAGCCTACATATCGGAATGGTTTCCCTACATGGGTAAAGCCCGGTGATCGGAAGCTATTACAATCATCAAACCCCGCTCCAAACGCTAACATTGTGGTGGCTCAAGACGGTTCTACTGGTTATAAGACCATCGGAGCTGCTATAGCGGCTGCAAAGTCGGGGTATGTTATATATGTTAAAGAAGGCACTTACAATGAAATAGTTCAGATTGGATCCAAATTGAACAACATAAGGCTAGTAGGAGATGGTATTGGAAAAACTATCATAACCGGTAGTAAAAGTGCTGGAGGAGGTGCTACCTCTTTTAGTTCAGCTACCTTCGGTAAGCACACCAAAATTTAACTTTTTAATCTATTTTTCCAATTCTTTACACGTTTAAAAGTCTATACAACTTTAATTGAGGTAACGTTTCACCTAATAATTAATATTGCTTCAATAATATAGCAATTGTAGGAGATGGATTTATCGGTCGTGGTATCACTATTAGAAACACCGCAGGGCCACAAAACCAACAAGCGGTTGCCCTTCGTAGTGCTTCTGATCTATCGGTGTTCTATCAATGCAGCTTTGAAGGTTACCAAGATACACTCTACGTTCTCTCGAACAGACAGTTTTATAAAGAATGTAACGTATATGGCACTGTTGATTTTATTTTTGGCAACGCTGCTGTGGTATTACAAAGCTGCAACATATATGCACGTAATCCTCCTAACAAGATAAACACTTTGACAGCACAGGGTCGGACTGACCCGAATCAAAACACGGGAATTTCGATCCATGATTCTCGAGTCGCGGCTGCTTCAAGCCTAAGTGGGGTGAAAACGTATCTCGGTAGACCATGGAAGCAATATTCGAGAACTGTTTATCTCAAAACGTATCTTGATAGTATAGTGAACCCAGCGGGTTGGTATCCTTGGAGTGGTAGTTTTGCGCTTAATACGTTGTATTATGGAGAGTATATGAACACGGGCCCTGGTTCATCCACTGCTAATAGGGTTAATTGGAAAGGCTACCATGTTATCACTAGCGCCACCGAGGCGTCAAAGTTTGACGTCCAGAATTTCATCAGCGGTGGATCTTGGTTGCCGCGAACCGGCGTTCCCTTCACTTCTGGCGTTTAAGCAAATGATTAATCTATTTTGAATTGATTACTACTTAATAATACTCAAAAGAGGACCCAGAAAAAAATTTCTAGTGTGTACTTCTCAAGTATTTAATGATCACAGTGATAAAGATAAGTAAAAAATAGTTTTATTTTTTGAAATAAAGGTCAAGAGTAGGGCCAACAGTGTGGGATCACCGCCCCCTCTAAACTTGTATGTAGGGTGCTATACTGCTATGCCATTGTATTTTATTTAAATTTTTTTTTTTTTTTTTTTTTTTGTGGAATTACATATAATTTTTATGATATTAATAATGATTTCATATAGTGTATATTATCTTATTTATTTTTTTATTTTTTCTGAATTACATATAATTTTTATATGATATTAATAATGATTTGATATACGACATTCCTTTGTCAATACTAAAAGATAAGGTTATTATACCAATATTTAATAGAATAAATGTGAATAAAATAAAAAATAGAGAGTTTATAGTTGAAAACGGTGAATTGAATTTTTAATATCTTTTTTTATGAACAGCTAATAAATATAAATCTTCTTTGGGATTAACCTAAAACGTCCAAATTAGTAGTTAGATTAGAGTAGGTTTGCACAAAAAAACCGGTTCAGGATCTCAACAGGTAAACCGTTTCACCATGAACTGATCCATTATAAACCGAACCGATTTAAGAACCGAGCCGCCGGTTTGAACCTGTTTGAGATTTAGACATTGAAACCGGTTTAATAGCCATGAACCGGTTTAGAACCGGTACTCAAACCGATTTAGAACCGATTGAACCGGTGTAACCGGTTTAGATATGTTCGAGTTTAATAATGATGGAACCGGTTTGAACCGAACCGGTATTCTGAACCGGTTTCGGTTTGAAAAAAAAAAACGGTTTGCTCACCCCTAGATTAAAGTATCTATATTAGCCAAGTGGGCTAGCCCAACTTTTTGATCATATTAGATCCATTTAACAAAATTGTTAGACACGATAGATTTTAAAGAATAAAAATAGTCTAACATTTAATTATGTGGTTAGATGGTTAGGATAGAGGAACTATAACATTTAATTATGTGGTTAGATGGTTAGGATAGAGGAACTATATGATTAGGTTAAAGGGAATGGTACAACACTTGTTATGGTCTATATAGAACTTATATCAGATTTATCATACTGCAACCAAATTTTGACATTTAAATGGTGTAGGTTTCCATGCATGCAATCCTAATTTTATTTTTAATATAAAATTTATATAAATAAATAAATATATAACACCCCATTTTTACTACGATTGTAATTACTATAAAATTCGAAATAAATATATATTACTCATGAGAAAAATTAATCGACATAAATAAGCATGAAACATCGATACGATTTTAATAAACATATAGAACGCATAAATCCGATTTCATAAGAAGATGTTATCCTTTTTCGAAGTCTCGCGATTAAACCGACATGGCGCAGTATATCGTAAGAAGGGAATTGTAGATAGATTGCTTATGAGCCTAAGCAATTTAACGAAAGTCATACTAGTCGTAAAGCTGAGAGTGTATATATAGAGAACGTATAAATCTAACTTTGGATGAAGAGGTTATGATCGTTCCAAGTTTCAGCACAGGACTGTGCAATATAGAAATGGAAATCAACATCAGTCGATTGTTAGGAAAAGTAATTTAAATGTAAGTTGAAGGCTGCATCGATATGATTTTGTCTATATAAAGGCAGTTGAGAACAGAATTCGTAGGAAGAATATATCAAATTTACACGGTCGTTGGCAATATAATCTTTGTATACTGTTAAATCTATGATGACGAGAATTAATCGACGCAGTGTAACTGAAAGTTGTAGTGCTCGGAAATAATTACATATGGACATAAAGAACGTCAAAAAGGGAGATTGTATGAGAGAGATATGAACGTTTAAAGATCTGTGATTTTACGTGGAATAAATGGACCAAAAATTGCCACGTGTATAAAGTTCAGGGGGCACCCTTGCCGACCATCCTTGGGTGCGGTGCGCAGGTGGTCGGGGAGCGGCACGCATGCCTAAAATTCACCTATAAAAGGCCATTAAACCCTCATTCTTTCCACATACTTTTCCTAATCTCTATTTCAACTTATAAGTTTGACTTTTGAGTTATTCCTTTGAGAATTCATTATATCTTGTCTTAGTGAAGCTTTGGGCATCTAAGCTTGGCCAGATTAAGCTATCAGTATCGAAATTCAGCCAATGCAGATCTAGGGTCTCGCTATAAACTCTCTATAAGTTAAGCTACACTTACTAGGCTTTTAAGTGTAACTTCTATTTCAATTAATAGTCGTTACTATAAATGTGTAAATAAGATTTATCACTAATTCCAGTCCTAATACTGATTGATCTATTTATGGGAGAGGTTTCTAGAATGGTCATGTTGGCTTAGTTGTTGGATTTCAGAAAGCTAATATGCCGAAATGGTCCTGTCTCCTCACTGTCATGCCTAGATAATTATTATTTGATAGAGCTCTCAGTGTTCATTGTGATTAATGAAGGATCTAGGCTTTCTTTACTAGATTCCCATAGGAACTAATAAACTATAGTATTATAGGTTAATCCTCGTTGGCATGTTGCTTGTCGGTTGAATTGTAACGATGTAAATTTTCAAACTAAATTTTTCTTTTTTTAAAACACATAAAACTCATATATTATATTTCATGAAAATCATAAGTGTCTCAATGTCAACATAAACTGAAAACAAAAGTCAAATCCCAGAATGCTCAACATAATCTCGAATAGGTGTGTATAATCACGCCGGTGCCTTTCCGTGATCCTTTAAGGTACCTGAAACACATAAAACATAACACGGTAAGCACGAAGCTTAATGAGTTCCCCAAATACCACGCACAAAAAGAACTAGCCACTCGAGGCTATAGCTCTGTAAGACCCTCTGGTCAATGTGTCTTAGTGGTACCTTTCAGTCCTATAGCTCGTTGGACCCTCTGGTCCGGTCTGGTTGGGACCCTCTAGTCTCATGGCTCGTTAGACCCTCCGATCCGGTCTGGTTGAGAACTGTTCGGTCTCATAGTTTGTTGGACCCTCTGGTTCGGTCTAAGTAACACATAATATAACATACAATACATATCACACAAACATGCATAACTCAAGCAAGCACATAAGACCCTCTGGTCACACTTAATTACCACTCTAGGTAAAGTATATTGAGAAGACTCACCTCGAAGTAAGCAAACTAATACGCCTCATACACAATCACTGAACTAGCCTCCGCCTAATACATGTGGTGATTATATCAAATTAGACCAATATTCCAATAAGCTCCTACTAACCCCTATCTAACTCTTGGTAATGGTAAAAGACCATTCTACCCCTCCATGGTCTCCATTACCCATATTTGGTCCAAACTCCAAAAGTCAATGACATTCAACTTGCATCAACATTCGATGTTGACTCAACTCATTGAGTGCATCGGGAGGACTCGTCGAGTCCCCTTGTTCCCTCAGAGGCCTTATGAAAACTAACTCTACTCGCCGAGTAGACCCGTCAACTCATCGAGTTGCACCATGTCCAGGCTTTATCAAGTAAACCCTAAACGACTCGTCGAGTCTGCTCATGGACTCGGTGATTTCATATAGTCCATACTCCCATTCAGACGTTTAGGGCAGATCTATCACTCCAAACACTAGATCTAGGCTCCCTAGGCTCGAATGTCACGTAAAGCTTCGATCTTTACATTCATGCATGGCATATTTGTTCCATAATGCAATTACAAGCTCCAAGGGAGGTTAAATGCATGTGGACCTGCCTCTAACTCAATAAAGTTCGAATATTTGGATTCTTAAGGCCTTCTTTAGTCCAGATCTGAGGTTCTAACCTCAAACCATGCTCAAATAACTCAAGAACACAATATGATTTGGGAGAAAACCCTAAAAACTCCAAAAAAATGAGATCTAATGAATATGTGGCGAAGATGAGAGCTTTTTACCTTTGAATAGTAGCTAATAACCGATGAATGCAAGATCTATAGCCTTCCCTCAGTTAGATCCATCAAGCTCTTCCAATCCATCCTCCAAAATGCACAAGAATGCACAAAATGGCCTCTCTCTCTCTCTATACAACGAAAAGGGCAGGTTAGGGTTTTTCTCTGTGAAGTGTGGCCGCCAAAGGAGGCTATAAGTTCCTTTAAATAGGTCCCAAACCTAGGGATTTAGGGTTTCTCATTCCAGCACCTACTCGACGAGTAGTCTCTTCGACTCGTCGAGTAAGTCATTAAACCCTTGTCTCCACACGCGACACGACTCGACGAGTCATAACATCAACTCATTGAGTCACTCTATAAAGTTCAAAAATAAATAATCAAAATGATGTACCTGGGATTCTGGATGTTACATGAATTGTCCAGTTAGTTGTAAATGCTCTAAGAAACTGTCAAAGTGAGTTCTCCTCCGGTATGTATCATCTGTATGTTAGGATATAGTTACCCTGTAGTATATATAATTAGGCCACCAGACTTGCTTAGTTAGTTGCCTATTACGTTGAACTATTTGTCTGTTGTGTGTGTGTGTGTGTGTGTCTATATATATATATATATATATATATATATATATATATATATATATATATATATATATATATATATATCCGTGTGTGTGTGTGTTGGTATGTGTGGGAGTTGAGGGCGGACCATCTATATGCTGAATGCCTATATACTCAGGCGGACTAGATTTTGCTGAAGGTCATTATGTGTATCATTGTATATCTATTGTGGTATATAGTATCTTGATGGACTTCAGTAAGCCTCAACTTAGCGTTGTTGAACAACTGCTTTTCAGGCTGTTTTTCAGATTGAGGAAAGACTCCCGCATGACTGTACTTGCATCGATGGCAATTAACAATATTTTATGACTTCTGCTAGAACTCATTTTTATGAATAAATGTAATATAATGGTTTGTAATACTAACCTTTTATTGAAATAAAAATGAAAAAAAATTGGCTCATAAATTCGGACGTTACAC